CTAGTCTGTAGCAGTGCACGGAATTCTTCCGTCCTAAGTGCAGGACTCTGCACTTGTCCTTGTTGAACCTCATCAGTTTTTTTTCGGCCCAATCCTCTAATGTGTCTAGGTCCCTCTGTATCCGATCCCTACCCTCTAGTGTATCTACCACGCCTCCTAGTTTAGTGTCATCTGCAAACTTGGTGAGAGTGCAGTCCACACCATCCTCCAGATCATTAATAAAGATATTAAACAAAACCGGCCCCAGGACTGACCCTTGGGGCACTCCGCTTGAAACCGGCTGCCAACTAATGTACTAAGTAAAAATAACACAAGGTACACAGTCTATATTCACCTATTTCAAAAGGGGAAAACACTGTCCTTATATACAGGAAAACTCTTCACACCCACCCCCAGGGGGACTTTCCCTCTAAAACCCTCTGTCCCAGCTGGAATATACCCTGTGTGAACCTGGGCCAATATCTAGTGCAAGTTAGCAAAAATGGCCGGTTAGTTGTGCCTTTCTCTTTGTAATTAATACTAAAGCGTGTTTCCTTGAGGAATATTCCTCATGGGCTTCCAACCCCTCTGCCTCCCTCACCTCACTGCTAACACGGGGCTTTGACAATGTGCCAGTTATGAACTGAGCCCTCGATCTTGCGTGCCCGTGTGGTGCTCCCCCCGCAGTCCCCGCTTCGTGGCTCCGGCCAGACCAGCCACCCGCCCGCTGTTCTGCGCTCCCCCCCAGTCCCGCCTCAGCCGTCAGAGGAAGCCCTGAATCCCGCGGCGGGCACCACACACGCCTCTCGCTCCTCTCACTGGTCTAGAACACGCGGACTGCCGGGGCGGGGAGGGGCGTGGCCACGGCCTGGTGACGTATCAGCCGCTCGCTCTCTCCAGTCCACGCCGGCTGACGTCAGTGTGCGCTCAGGGGGACCGGAAGCGGTGGTTGGCGATGGCGGCTGCGGTGGGGATGGGGCAGCAGTGGGTGCTGGTGGAGATGGTGCAGGCCTTCTATGAGGTGAGACGTCCCCCATCCCCGCTCGAGCCGGGTCCGGCATCCCCCCCTTCTCCTTCAGTGGGGCCGGTCCTGCCGCATGGGGCGAGCGCCGGGGCGATGAGCTCAACCTGAGGGAGAGGGGCGCTGGGTGACGGCCCCGCCTGGTGACACCAGCTCGCGGGGGAGAGGTGTTGTGTCGCACTAGTGGGGGGCTGCTTTGGGGCGGGGGTACCTGTGGTACTGGCGGGCCGGGGCGGGCGCTGGAGGGGGGTTGGGGGACCCTGTGGCATGGGTGATTCCAGCAGGAGCCAAGCACCAGGCTGTACTGGCCGCACAAGGAGCGGGGCAGTGAATCGGTCCAGCAGGGTATGATAGAGCTGATGATAAGACCACTGGAGCAGGCAGCTCTTCTCACAGACCTAAGAGGGGCTCAGAAAAGAACAAGGAGAATGACTTAGTGATCTGGATAAACTCAGGGTGTGAGGAAGTGGGATTGCTGACCTTGCAGAGGAGGGGATCACAGTATAAAAAATAACATGCAGTAGAGTGGGAGTGTCTCCTTGTGCCTTAATCCAAGTACAAGGGGATGTTTGGCCAAAATAAAAAGTGGGAAATTTGCAACTGATAAAAGGGCTTAGTCTTTTACATGACCTGTCATTTGACTCTGGAACTTGCTGCCACAGGACATCATTGAGGCCAAGAACTTAAAAAAAAAAGATTCATAAAGAGATTGAACATTTATATGACTCTTGGGAATCCTTAGTTGTCATAATTTATTATCAAGTTTTGGATGGTCTATTAAACCTCATGTATCATGTATGAACCAACTTCCAACTATTAGACACTAACATGAGACCTAATGTGGGGGATAGATTACTTCCTGTCTGCTTATTGTGAGGTTCTTACACCTTTCTCTGAAGCGTTTGGTACCAACTACTGTCAGAGACAGGACGCTGGACTAGATGGACATTGGGTCTGGTCCTTAATAGCAGTTCCTATATTGACATTTTTTGGTCAAAGTTAAAGTATGGTGACATTTGTGTCTCTCAAGGTAAATCTAGTATCCATCTGAGGTGGGGCTTCACATTCACCTTGAGAATTTATGCAATGTGCTAGTCAGCATTATGGGCCACTTCTGACTTGGAGGCAGTTTGTTCCATATTGTGATGATGATTCTGCTGTTAAACTCTATGCTATATTTTGGTACACACTGTTTTTGCCACATTTATTTTTTGAGGCAAAATCTACCATTTTGGTAAAAGAGTCGACGCAATAAGACAAGAGACTTTAGTTTACACGTTGTTACGATTATTGAAAGGCAAAGATTTATGAATTCAAACTCTGAATTTATTTTCCCTTAAAAGGGACTCTATTGTCATTTTATGCTAATTGGGAAATGGGTAATTATTTCCAGACTGTTAGAAACAGGCATTTCTGTGTTAGAAGCAAACTGATGACCTGGTTGCCACTTCATAGGTAAAGGTGTTGCTCTAATCTCTTCTATCTCACACACAATCTAGGTGGTGACCTACTTCCATGTAAAGGAATCTTGTTTGAGTTACCTAGCAGGTCATGCAATGAAAAGTACTGCTCACAGAAGAAGCAGCAACTCTAACATTAATGGCATTTTTGGTTGGTCTCTCTCTTCCCCCTAGTTGTTCCTACAGCTTGGTCATTTAACATGGTTCTTAAAAGACCAGCAAATTACAAGTGAAAGATACATTACCAGCGATGTGCACTGTGTACAGTAACTCCTCCCTTAATGTTGTAGTTATGTTCCTGAAAAATGCTACTTTAAGCAAACAATGTTAAGTGAATCCAGTTTCCCCATAAGAATTAATGTAAATAAGGTGGGTTTAGGTTCCAGGGAAATTTTTTTCATCAGACAAAAGACTATACACACACATACACGGTATAAGTTTTAAACAAACAATTTAATATTGTACATAGCAATGATGATTGTGGAGCTTGGTTGAGGTGGTAAAGTCAGAGGGTGGAATGCCCTTACTGCTAAATGATGAACTAGCACTCAGCTGAGCCCTCAAGGCTTAACACGTTGTTAATGTAGCCTCATACTCTACAAGGCAGCATGAATGGAGAGAGGGGAGACAGCATGGTAGAGAGCGAGAGAGAGAGAGACACCCCGTGTTTGAGAGAGAGGCGAGCATTGCCCCTTTAAGTACGCAGACCCTACTCTAAGTACACTGCCTTTTTAAGTAGACCAGCAAGTTGAGACAGCAGCTGCTGCCAGCAAGCTCCCTCCGTCTGAGCCCCTAATCTGTGGAGATGGGGTAAAGGAGTGGGGGGCAGGAGGGGCCGGGGACACCCTGACATTAGAACCCCTCTTCTTTCTCCCCCTCTCCCCCCGCCCCCCCGCACAGCAAGCAGGAGGCTCCTGGGAACAGCTCCAAGGCAGAGGGCAGGAGCAGCACACAGCAGTGGGGAGAGGGACAGCTGAACTGCCCGGCAACTGATAGCCTGCTGGGCGTCTGCTGCACAGGGAACTTAAGGGAGCTGGTGGGGGGGCTGCCGGTCCACCCTGGTTCCAAGCCTCCACCAACTAGCTCCAACAGGCTGCTTTTTCTGCAAGCAGTGGACAAAGCAGGCAGCTGCCAAACAACATTATAAGGGAGCATTGTGCAACTTTAACCGAGCATGTTCTCTAATTGATCAGCAACAAAACAGTGTTAACCAGGACGACTTTAAGTGAGGAGTTACTGTAACACGTTTCATTTGTTGGTTGTAAAGCTCATCCTTTTTAAGTGACATGTCCAGATCATGGGCGGCTGGTATCGTAGGCAAGGGGAGGCTGTGCCTCCCCAAATAGCCTACTGTGGCCCCGCCCGCAGGCCAGCATGCCTCCTGCAGGGACTTGGGACGGCTGGTGCTGGGCCGCGCTGCCTGCCCTGTGCTCCAGGGTTGGCCACCTGTGCACCGGGACTGGGGGCCGCTCAGGGGGGACAGAAACCATGCTACCCAGCCGCCTGAACCCCGGTGCTGGGGGTGCGGTGGCCGCGTCACCCAGCCGCCCGAGCACCGGGATTGGGGGTACGGGGACCACTCTGTCTGGCCACCTGCAGCACCGAGGCTGGGGGCGCTGTGGCTGCACTGCCCAGGGGCTGTGGATGCTGAGGCTGCTTCGTGCTGGGGCCTTGCCCCCCGGCCATCAGTGCTGGGGCCGGGGGGGAGGGGGGCTGCAGTGGAGGTGCTTTGGGCTCCTGCGGGTGAGGGGAAGGCGCACAGAGTGGGGCCTCAGGCACAAGGGGCAGGGCCGGGGGTTAGCCTCCCCGGTCGGCTGGGTCACTGGCTGCCCGTGGTCCAGATGTTTTAAAAACATCTGAGTTTAGAACCTCCCTCCAGCACCATCTCTGAAGAAAAAAAAATAGTTTAGATAAATTTTAACCTGATGTCATCAGAATGAGAATTGATATGAAGAATTTGCAGAAGACACTGGCAAAAAGAGTTTAAACAAATACATGCACACAAAATATGTTGGGGAGGGGAAAGCTGCAGCATGTATTAAAATCGAAGCTCACTTCAGAGTCTCCCATGCTTACTTCAGTACAAAGTTGCTATTTTCTTGAATCTACAGTTCTTTCAGTCAGCACTCTGTTTGTAAGTGAGCCAAAATAAGTTAGGTAATTGTTTAGGTAGTACAACCTGCCCCATGGCTAGTGGGTTTTGGATTTCATTTGATCACTTTCAGAGCCAACTGCTAATAAAGAAGTTGAGCAATGAAATACAGAAGAGTATCTTCAGAATGCTACTCTTCTCAGTTCCCTGTTTACTAAGACCTTGTCTACACTACAGGGGAAATTCGATCTAAGCTACGCAATTTGAGTTACATGAATAGTGTAACTCAAATCGGCATAGCTTAGATATACTTACTGCGAGGTCCACACTACGCTCTCCCGTTGACTCCCCCTACTCTTCTCAATCCAGTGGAGTACAGGTGTCGATGGGAGAGCTATCGCTAGACCCGCTAAATCAACTGCTGATGCATTGATCACCGCTCGTGGATGCCCCAGTAAACGTAGATAAGCCCTAAGTCTCACTGTGGATCACTGCTCCTTGTGAGTTAGGTCTGTTTGTATGATAAATATAATCCTTTTCTTTGAACTAGATGAAGAACATGCAGGCATGTTTAGTTTTTAAACTTTAAATCTGATAATTCACATCAGAATATTAACCCTAATTTCTGTGCAGTGCTGTCTTAGTGTAACCAAATTCCTGTTCTGGCTGGGTCTCTGTGTGTATTTGCACATCCACAAACAGCCCCTAAAAGGTGTGGCTTCTCCCAGAGGGGAGGCATACTGGACCAAGGAAGTAATTCTGAGAAGAAGGTCAGGGGAGGAGGTGCTTCTTGCCTGCGGGAAAAGCAAAAGTGTCAGGAGTCAGCAGCACCAGGAGGGGAGATGCCTCTGTCTCCTCCTGCTTACGTGTTCTGCTACTGTGATCTTGTGGCTGTATCGTTCCTGGTACTCTGCCTGTTTGTGCTAACCCAAAAGAAGGAGACTGTGAGGTCTCACAACAGTACTATGACGACAAGGCCGGAGGGAGTCACTATCTACCCTCTCTTTTATTTCCCCCAAATGATCTAATGTTGAAATTATCTAATTGATGCCACCAGATCCTCTCCTCTGATGATCATAGTGGAACAAGGCTTTGGTAGCCACTGGATTGTTTTATTGCTGTTTTAAACTAGAATTTGCTCTAATCAGAATTGTACACTACAGTTACTAAATTCTGGTGGCTCTGGATGCCTGTCTACTATATCACTTCTACCGTTATTACCAGGGCCCTACCAAATTCATGGTCCATTTTGATCAATTTCACAGTCATAGGATTTTAAAAATTGTAAATTTCAGGTATTTAAATCTGAAATTTCATGGTGTTGTAATTATAGGGGTCCTGACCCAAAAAGGAGTTAGGGGTTGTAAAGTTATTGTAGGAAGGGTTGCAGCACTGCTACCCTTACTTCTGCACTGAGCAGCTGGAGAGCGGCGGCTGCTGGCCGGAAGCCCAGCTCTGAACGCAGCAGCGCAGAAGTAAGGGTGGCAATACCATACCAAGCCACCCTTACTTCTGTGTTGCTGCTGGCAGGGTTCTGCCTTTAGAGCTGGGCGCCTGACCAACAGCTGCTGCTCTATGGGCGCCCAACTCTGAAGTCAGCGTAGAAGTAAGGGTGGCAATACTGTGACCCTTCCCCAAAATAACCTTGTGACCCCCACCCTGCACCTCCCTTTTGGGTTAGGACCTCCAATTTGAGAAACACTGGTCTCCCCATGAAATCCGTATAGTATAGGGTACAAGCACACAAAAGACCAGATTTCACGGTCTGTGACACATTTTTCATGGCCGTGAATTTTGTAGGGCCCTAGTTATTATCACTGGTAGAACTGAACAGGAGTGTTAGAGGTTAAGTATGGAGCTGTAAATCGGGAGATCTGGGATTCATCTCCAACTCTTCTACTAATGTGTGACCTCGGGGAAATTTCTGCCTTAGTTTTCATGTTGATTAAATGAAAAGTGCTCTTCAAATGCCAACTTCTGTTATCACGTGAAGTGATGTGTTGCATACATCCTTATTACCACCTTTATTGTCGCTATTGAAATATCTGTACTGATAATTGTTACTACTTTTGTTTCTCAGTGCATCTGTATTCCAATTCCTCCATTTCTGTAGGCCCTATACTAACAAAATACTAAACTGTTTTTGGAAATAGCTTCTCACAGTTATATTCCTATATGGATTGGATAGAAGGGTGTCTGTATCAGGTTCTTGGAAAATAACTGATGTCCACTTTGTATACTGGACCCTTGTTAAAATAGAACATAAGAACAGCCATACTGGGTCAGACCACAGATCCATCTAGTATCCTGTCTTCCAACAGTGGCCAATGCTAGGTGCCCCAGAGGGAATGAACAGAACAGGTAATCATCAAGTGATGCATCCCCTGTCACCCATTCCCAGCTTCTGGCAAACATAGACTAGGGACACCATCCCAGCCCATCCTGGCTAATAACCATTGATGGACCTATCCTCCATGAATTTATCTAGTTCTTTTTTGAACCCTTTTATAGTCTTGGCCTTCACAACATCAGCTAAACGTAGCTAAACCCATGTTCTAAACGAGCTATCAAGTGTTGATGTTTTAGAATTAGGTTTATGTCTAGTATGAACTTGTTCCTTACATGGGCAGGCTTTAGCCTCATGCAATTTCTATTAATTCGGCTACAGATTTAATCAAATGTAGTCTGTCTAGCAGTGAGTCTGTATAATATTTTAAATATATGTATTAATTTAATGCAGTTAAAAGTGACCCTGAGCCAGCAAAGTATGCTATTCACTTCCATACAAACTCCCTATCCACAGCTTTGCCAGTGTAATTTAGGCTAACCTGCGATGTACTTGCTAATCCTCTCATGCACCTTTTTAGAACTGAAACTGCCTAACATATCAACTTTGAGAGCAGCTTATTATGTCTTCCACTAACACATAGGATAAGACCATCCGTGTTCACTTTAACACTAAGTAGGCAGGATCTGCAAAGCCTTGAACTTTCATAAAACACTATTTTTTATATATATATATATATATATATGAGAGAGAATATGAATGTAATTTTTTTTTAAATAAAGGAGGTATATATGAACAGTTCTAGTTGATGCAAGGCAACTTTGTTTCTTTTAGAATTATAATAATGGAAAGGAAAAATACCAGCTAATTAAAACTGAATCTTATATGGACTCTTTTTAATTTCTAGGCTCCTGCTTACCATCTTATTTTGGAAGGAATTCTAATACTGTGGATAATCAGACTTCTTTTCTCTAAAACCTATAAACTTCAAGAACGGTCTGACCTCACACCTAAGGTATATTGTAATAACATTCTTCCCAATATGCAGATTTTTTCCTTATAGCAACAATTTATAATGCTAATACATTTGTCTGTTGTGACACTCGGAATGTGGTGTGATCACCTCACAAATTGAAACCACAGTGATAAAGCGATATTTCTAGTGACTCCAAAATAGAGTAAGAGATCTTTCAATATGCGTTTTGTTTTGGACAGGAAAAATAATTGATTAGAAATATTACACCAATTAGAGGAAAACTTAATTTTTAGAAAGTTACAAATCAGAAATTTGAAGGAATTGAATTAATTGTTAAATTTCTAGAGAGATGAAATTGGCATCAGCTCTACTTTGTGAACAGAGTTGTTTTAACAATGGAAACTTCAGGTAGATTTAAAACAAAACAAAAAAAAACACAACATTGGAGAAATTCATGCTGAATTTTGCTGTCCTGGAAAGCAATTGCTAAATAATCAGTCTGGAAATAGAATGTCAGCATAAAATACTGGCACCTAACACTTCAGATATTAGCAAGTTTAAGAGAGGATTGAGAACTTTATACATCAGTGGGGATAAAATTCTGTTTAACTTTTAAACTCATTCCTGCAAACAGTTGTATTCTTGCTTAACTCTAAACACTAGTAGTCCCATTGACTCTAGTTGGACTACATATGTACGTAAGTTAAGCATGTGTAAGTATCAGAATTAAACATCAGTACTTCATTTTTCTCTTTCTTGGTTCTCCTACTTCACCTGATGCTCAAAGCCATTATATTCTAAAAACTAGTGACAATGGTGGGGAGGGCCGCATGACTTCTTCTGTACTGGTATCTAAGGGTATGTCTTCACTACTGGCTGGATCGGCGGGAAGCGATCAATCCAGCGGGGATCGATTTATCGCGTCTAGTTTAAATGCGATTAATCGATCCCCAAGCACGCTCCTGTTGACTCCTGCACTCCAGCTCCGCAAGAGGTGCAGGCAGAGTCGACAAGGGAGCAGGAGCAGTTGACTCACCGTAGTGAAGACACCGCGGTAAGTAGATCTAAGTACATCGACTTCAGCTACGTTATTCATGTAGCTGAAGTTACGTAACTTCAATCGATCCCCTCCATCCACAGTATAGACCAGGCCTAGTAGTCAATAAGGGGCTGAGAGGCCTTAGTGGATCTGCTTAGGCTAGAAGTGTTGCCACCAATAGGCTATTGTATTGAGGGTCATGGGTTCCTGAGATTTTTAACCAATATAATTTTATCTTATAATTTTAAATATTCACCTTCTGTCCACCACTATGACACTGCCTTTACCCTTCAGGCATCATCTTCCAGGTCTGCTTATGTGTTAATGGTGAATATGGATATTGTTGGACAATGCTTCACAGCAATAAACTGTATTGAAAGTTTGAGAACAGAGAGATCAGTATTAAAACTACGATATTTAGTTTAAAAAAATCCATAGCATATCACCCTTAACATGCTAGGCTAGCAGCATTGACACTAGCTAAATACTTGATGAAACTATAAGAATTTAAGAATTCTTAAAACCTTGCAGACTGCTGAAGAAATCTAATGCATGTGCTATAATTACATTCATGAGCACACTAGCTTTTAATCTCAGTAGTAGCCAAGCACACATTCTAACATGATTGTAGCTATTTCTAAATATTAAACAAATATTTAGACTTAATGTTGTTGCACACATTTATGTCAGTTTATTTCCTTTCAAATATAGAAATATAAAACAATTTTAAGAAAATCTCTTCTGAAACATAGGGCCATTTATATTTTGATACAGACGGTCTTGTCCTCTTCAAATATGAAATGTATTCTATAAACAGTCACAGTTGAAAAACAAAATCATTCATCGTCTAAATAAAAAGAAAATATTGAAACTACAACAAAATAAACTTATAATTGTGTACACTTCCCTTTCCAATTTCTAATCTTTTTTGTCATTTAGACTGAAATTTTTTCTTTAAATATAAGTATGAGTTTTCTGCATCAGAATCTTCATACAAAAATTGAAGTTACTGAAATAATGGATTTTCTTAAATAGTAATCCTGTAATAAGTATCAATAAGTAGGTTATGTAGTTTTTAAATATTCTATTAGCCTTACAGTTTATATTGACATTTAATTACAATAATGTGAAAATCCAATATCATAAAGCTTTTTTGTTTTGCATTTGTGAATAGATCATCAGGAGTGTCTCATTTTCTTTGTCTTTTTGCAAGGATGGGATTTTATTATACCTGGAAAATAACTCTTAGGAAATGTTACTCTTCAACGGTATTAAGGGAGGTGTTACATTTTAGAACTCATGGCCCTAGTGGCTGCTGACGTTTTAAGGATTGTGTAGCTGGGCTAGACAGCGTGGTACTTAAAATGCCAGCAGCCCTCTGGAGCCTTTTCTGCACTAGTGCTAAGAACAATAATAGGATATATTGGCAATATCAATCCTAGTGTAAATGTAGCCTTAGTTATTTTCCCATATCCTGTGTATGGGGATCGTTCATTGCAAGAGAATTACTTAAATTATAAAACCAAAGAGTGGAGGTTGTCAGTTCTAGTCTCCGTATCTACAGCTTTAGTTAGTCTTTTAAAATAAGTTAAAAGTAGTTTCAAACTTAACATCCCTTTAATAGCTAATGCTTATATCATAGCTCTACTTAGTGTCATTGTGGTTCAGGGGTTAGAGAGTATAGGACTAGGTGGAACTAAGCAACTCCTGAAGTCTAATGCTGGTTCTGACTCTGATTCACTGTGTATCCTTGTGCAAGTGACATGACCTCTGTTACTCCATCTGAAAATTGGACAGGAACACTTGCCTACCTTGCATGTGTTGTGAGGATTAGTAGTTATGACATGCTATTCTACTGATGTTACCCAATGTGCAGATTATGCTAATTTGATTAGTAATTGTTGCTTCTATTGTGTCCCTTCACTTAGCACTGTAATGCAAGAACTGTTTGTTTAATAGTGCTATAGAATGGTTGAGGACAGGAAGTGAGGAATGCTATATCTAATATTAAATTAGAGGGTGATTTTGCTAGTTGGTAATCAGGAAGAAATTGCCTTAGTTAAAATTTTGACCAGGATGCTGAGTCAACACCTTTTCTTTTACAAAACATGCCATGAGATCTTTAATTAATATATCTGGCCAGGATCTCTCCTTTCAAAGTCACCCCAAGTAGTGCAGAGCCCCTCTGTATAGTATTTGATCGTAATACATCTCTACCCCAATATAACGCGACCTGATATAACACTAATTCAGATATAACACAGTAAAGCAGTGCTCTGGGAGTGGGAGGGGCTGCGCGCTCTGGCGGATCAAAGCAAGTTCAATATAATGTGGTTTCACCTATAACGTGGTAAGATTTTTTTGGCTCCCAAGGACAGCATTATATTGGGGTAGAGGTGTAGTTCAGCATTGACTTGGAAGGGTGCCACATGTTGATATAGTTCTTTTGGCTAGAACTATACCCATCTGCTTATCATACCATAATGTGCTATAATGGAAATCATATTTGAAAGATACTAAATTTTGGGTATTTTGACTTCTGGTCCTTTCAGGAAAAGGAAGAATTGATTGAAGAGTGGCAACCAGAACCTCTTGTTCCTCCTGTATCAAAAGATCATCCAGCTCTCAACTACAATGTTGTTTCAGGGTAAATTTAGCACAAAATAGTCCTATGTTCAACTTCAATATAAATCTCTTTTCAAATGTCTCTGTTTTTAAACATAGGAGGATATTAATGTTCCTGGAATATCTTTGTGAGTGAGTTGTATGTTAGGATTACAGGACTGGGTTTGTCACTGATGCTAAAGCCTCCTATTGCATCCGAAGAAGTGGGCTGTAGCCCATGAAAGCTTATGCTCAAATAAATTTGTTAGTCTCTAAGGTGCCCCAAGTACTCCTGTTTTTTTTGTGGATACAGACTAACATGGCTGTTACTCTGAAACCTCCTATCAAAGTTCATTATATCTTTGTTGAAACAGAATTAACTTCTGAGGAGATACAATAGTAAAGAGAATCTAATTCTCTTTTTAATCACGGATGGCAAAGTATTAGGTAATTGGGCTTCATCTTGGTATCTTATTCAGGATCCTTTTCTGTTTGACGACTAATAACCAAAATGAAGCAAATTTTGTAAAGGTATAGGCCTAAATCTCCAAAAGCGACTAATAATTTTTGGGTTTCCACCTGGAGGGGCCTGATTTTTATAGAGGATTGGCACTTTCTTATAATTAGACTACTTTAAGGTATCTCAAGCTGGGCTCTCAAAAGTGGAGTCATTTGAAATCTTGGCTATAACATCTTAGGGCTTGTCTATAAATTTGAAATGGTACTACACCAATGTGCACTAGCCAATTAGTGTGTGACACCCTGGTGCGGACTAATGCACCGTGTAGACAGAAAAGCCCTCATAAGAGTGATACTGATTCATGATATTTCCCATATGTGTTGCAACACAGATGCAATTCAAACATAAGTGTACTTCTACAGTGTACATCATAGTACTGCAGGAATGGTACATTTTTTGTTTTAACTTTTATGTTGGTAGCATTTAAAATAAAGGTACAGCGATGATTGGGCTCCAAAAAATTTGATCGCGCTAAATGCGAGGCTGTGGGGAAGGCACATTCCCTTTTTTGTTTTGTTTTTTTCCCTTCGGCGGTGCTACAGCCCCCCCCCCCTTTTTTTTCCTTTTTTTGTCGCTTCCGCGGCGCTCCTGCTATTTTTTTTTATTTATTATTTTTTATTTTTTATTTTGGTGCTTCGGTGATGCTCTGGCCGCTTTTTTCTTTTTTCTTTTTTGTTGCTGTGTGTGTGTGTGTGGGCGGGGGGAGAGTTTGTCCCTGAGTCACTGATGCTGGTAGGGGTGTCCTGCATCTCAGCAAGGGCAGCGTGGTTAGATTTGTAGAACCCTCAGGTGTTACTTGGACAGTGAGGCTAATAGGGGCTGTCAAGCTGGCGATTTGGCCCTGAGCCTCTCAACGTTTGGGGCGATTTGGTGCAACACTTCAGGGCCAGAGGCAGGTTAAGGTTTCCTGGGGCCCTGGGACAAAGCAAGTGCCCCCCCCCGCCCCTTCCACCTGCTAGCCTGCCCCCCATTCTGCCTCGTCTGCCTGCAGCCCCCACCCACGGTTCCACCCCTTTCTGCTCCTTCCCTGGGGTGGCACTCAGGGTCCCCCCATTCCACACACCCCCACTGCAGCTCCTCAATCCATTTGCTACTTTATGTCCTCCCCCACTGCGGCCCCAAGACCAGAGATGCCCTGTCCCCCCATCACAGCCTGAGGCCGCAGTGGGGAGTGAGTGGCCCCCCCCCCCCCCAGCTGTGAGGCTGCCTCCCGGGCCTGCAGTGGGGGGGGGGTGTCCCAGTGCTCGGGCTTCCCCCGCCACCTCCTGCACTTCTGCTGGGGATGGGTTGGAGCACTAGGGGCTTCCCCTGCCCCCTCCCCAGCTTCTGCTGGGGACACCATCAGGGAGGCGCGGGGGGCCCCCAGTTGACCACTGCCCCTGGGCGCTTCTGCGGTGCTCCGGATGCTGCTTTTTGGGGTGGGGGGGCGCTTCGGTGGCGCTCTGGCGGTGACAGCCCAGTTCACATCTCAGAATTAATATACAAGTGAAAATTTCCATATCCTATTGGCAGTTCAAGAGCCATCTTGTTCCCTACTAAATTAGTGATTCAGGTAGCCTGTTGACAGTAACGGCAGTCTTCCTTCTGTGATTTTGATGTTAGTCTTCCACAAAAGTGTGTGTAATGCATCTCTTAATTATAATGATATGTGGTGGGGGTTCTTTATTGCCATATTTAATATAGCTTGTGGATTTGAAGCACATGTAGCCGACAGTACCTTAGGAAGTATGAAATATTGTCTGCTAAAAGTAGAATGAAAACCTCTTGATTTAGTATAACACACATTATGGTGGGGGTATTCTCCTTTGTGGAAGACAGTTCTATACCTCGTGTTAATGCCATATTCAGTTTGATTACATAGATTCTTGTCTGACCTGAACAGATGAGTTTGTTACTTAACCAAAAGTTCCAGCAGCTAATGTTGTTAATGATGGCAAAACCAGCGATGCAGAGCATTTTCTTAACAAAGAACAATAATTAATTTAAAATTGGTTGTCTAAAGCTATGTAAAGACCACTTTAAGAGCATCTATGTTGAATTAACTGATTCATGAAATATAATAGACTATGCTTTGTAGGGAAACTAATTGCAAGATAGCCTCTTTAGACAGGATCATGCTGAATTATCATTCAGCAAATGTGCACCTTAATGATTAAGGGAAAAATAATGAAATGTTGGAAACACAAATGCTAAAAATGAAGTATATCCCTGAAATAAAAAAAGTCCACAATAAACTTTGTAGACATTAGTACTTGTTCTACGTTAACTTTAATAAAATGTTATTACTTGTTTTCTTATAACTTTTGATATATCTTTGTATTTTATGTTGAAGATGAAATTCAGTGTTTGCCTTTGTCTGTACGTGCAACTCCCGTAAATATCAGTGGACGCCCTAAGCACAGATTTGGAATCTTAGGACCCTAAAAGACATTATCCAATCAATATACACGTAGATTCCATGAACATCACTTTGAATTCTTTGTTTTTATATGAAGTAAGAATGTGGGCCACTCAATGTCTGATTATAACTAGTGGTCCCATAGGTGATATTGTAGGAACTGGGGAGCATTAAAAAAAACCCTAATGCTTTAAGGCTGCTCCACATCCCCACACTTCTTTGTGAAATTTTTGTCTTGTAGCACTTGCTATAACTGAGGTTGCAAAGTAGTTTACAGAATGCAGTATCCTGTTTCCATATGCTTATAACTTTGCAGTGAAATTACATTTAGACTGAAGTTCTCCATGTTTAGTCTTTGCCCAAGCAAGGATATTGCTTCTTTAGAAGCTTGAACAAAAATCTTATCAATCTAAAATATGAGAGAGAGGAATCTGACCATACCTTTCTTCGGTAGGGCTACAGTTTTGAGACTGTCCATGGCAAGCTCTCAATGAACAGTGTGTCTTTACTGGGCCTGACGGGTTGGGGAGTGGGGAATTATTTTTGATTTACAAAGTTAATAGCATTTAAAAATTGCATCTGGGAATGTACTGATCATTGCAGTAAGCCTATACCTGCACAGTTACGCCCTGATCTTGCAACAACATATGTACATGAAAACTCCTTTGACCTCAATGGGACTACTAAACCTGTCTGGTTACTTGTGGGCATGTTTAAATGGCCAGGACCTTAGAGATGCATTTCAGATGGACATACAGCGAGTTAATTGAACACTTTTCAAAACTGTTTTGCTGACTTTTCTCATTGTTTTAATCTTCTGAATTAACAAGTTTTGAAGAAAACTGTATCCATGTTTTTTCAAAGTTATGAACGCTTGTATGCAGTAAGCTGAAACTTTTCTTACAATTTGTAGTGAATTCAAATTTAGCCTCTTTGTGTTTGTGGTTTGTCCAACTTTTTCCAAACTTTTTCATTCAAAATGTATAAACATTGTTTGGTGAATTGGGGTCAGAAAACAGTTTTGAAGCAACTATCTGAGGATATTTGAGCTGCCTTGGTTGGTTTTGATTGTGTATGTATAGGTCACATATTATTGTTTGTTCCCTGGTTAGACAAGCTTGGAGCAATGATATTTTATATTGATATAGTATCGGATCATATTGTACAGCATGTGCATAAATAGGCAGAACTGGTGTTTTTCAATCATAATGTCAGTACTTCACTTCCTGTCACTTTGTTAGTAAGTGAAACTTTAATGTTGAGTTAGTAGTGTCTTTAGCATTTTGTAATAACTGTTCTAAAGTACAGAACACAGAGGTCTAATTAATTTGTAGGCTAGACATTAGGGGTTTCTGGCCTGATGCTTAAATTTAGGAAAAGAGCGTCAAACTGAGTTAGCTAGTGCTAATGCAAGCTCTTAAATAGTCAGATTTTTCATTGCTTCAGTAACGGTGTTTGGTAAAATGCTTGCAGTGTAAAAGATTTCATTATTCTCCTGGTTACAGGCTGCTTGTTCTAAACTTTGCTGAACATTTTGCTCTGGTCACATTTTCGTCTCCACAACTATTTTTTGTCGTCATCGCTTGATTTTTGCTTCCAAATCCTGGTTCTTTGGCTGGCTGACTCCTAGCAAAAACTGTTCCTGGAATTACTGTAACTTCTATGAATTAAACAGAATGAAATCTAGCATGTCAGATTTCCCAAGCATTCTAAAGCATCTTGTGTTGAGTGTCTGCATAAACTTGGTGCCTCTTTATTTTTATAATTTTTTTCCATAGGTGTTTGCAAAGGTGATCTTGCTTTATAACAAAACTATTGTTTTTTTAGTTAACTCTTGTTAGTGAAGTGGGAGGATCCCAGGGATCCGAAGTGGGAGGATCCAAAGGATCCCAAATGCACTTTGCAAATTATACAAAGGAGAAGTTTTAACCACTACTTAAATACATCACCCTCAGCAATTATTTAAACAACAAGCAGCAATCCTAAACAGTTTGGAACAGAACTTTGGAGAATACTGCATTTAGTTTAAGGGACAGGAGATTTTAGGTAGGAAGAATGTAATTATCCAAACTGGAATTTGACAAGATGCTGTGGTCGGCTCTCCGAACTCTGGTCAAGTGTAGTATCTGTTTGTATTGTATTTAGGCTATGTCCGCACTAGAGCGCTTACACCAGCACAGCTGTACCGATGCAGCTGCGCTGTTGTAAAATCTCGTGTAGCCACTCTGCCAAAGGGAGAGAGCTCTCCCTTCGACATAATTAAACCACCCCCAACAAGCAGCAGTAGCTATGTTGGTGGGAGGAGCTCTCTCGCCGACATAGCACTGTGCACACTACCACTTGTGCTGGCATAATTTATGTCACTCGAGGGAGTGAAACCGCCTCTGCTTCCCTCCCCCGAGTGACATAAGTTCATAAGTTTTGCCGATATAAGTGGTAGTGTAGACATAGCTTTAGGTTCAGAGTAAAATTATGACTTTGAAAACATGGCAGAATAGGGGGAAAAATCAACATGTTTTAACTAATATCTTAATATGTTTTAAAACACAGTCAGTGTACTGTTTGACAGTTATGAAAGTGACAAATATTTAACTTTTAACTATAGCACTGTTTTTATATTTTTGTAGCCCCCCAAGTCATAAAATCATAGTGAATGGCAAGGAATGTATAAATTTTGCATCATTTAACTTTCTTGGACTTCTGGATAATGAAAGAGTGAAGGTGAGTAGGTTATGTGATTGCACATAGATAGTTATATACAAAGGGATTTTTTAAAATGTGCTGTTGCATTTTACCTTGAGTTTGGGGATGACTTCAAAATATGTGAACCTCACAAACACTTAGCACAGTAGTAGTCTTCATCCACATCACGTCCTAAGCCTGGTTCTGCTGTTGACTTACCATGTGACCTTGAGCAAGTCACTTCACCTCTGCTTACATTTCTTTATTTATAAAGAAAAGATCTTTACATACCTACTTCATAGGAATTACCAAAATTAAAAACATTTAGCACTTATATTTAGACATATTCAAAGCCTTGTGCAAATATTAAATAAGTGTTCTTGGGTGAGGTGTTTCCACATGAGTGCAGTCCAGTAACAACATGAAATAAAGGGTTGCAATAACTTGTGTTATGCCTCAGTTATTTCCAGTGTATACTGGAAGTGTGAAAGTGCTAGGAATTTAAATGGCAAAACGTTAATCAGCATTTAAATATGGCAATATATGCATCATTGTAGTTTGTGTATTATAAGTAAGGATACAATTTGGTCGGAGATTCCGTGACTTTAACAGATGTCCGTGACTTCTGGGGCTTCAGTCTCAGGTGGTGGGGCTCGGACTTTAGCCCTAGGTGGCCAGGCTCAGGCTTCAGCCCTGCTGTGACCATACACTGATTTTGTTCATTTTTTACCATGACTGTTCCATGAATTTTGCCTGATTTTACTGTGACAAAATTGTATCCATAATTGTGTTCAATTCTGAGGCATTTATAGGTTTGAAAAGGACAATTCCCTATATGTAAGTTCTTCCAAAGTTTGGGTAGATGATTAACATTTTCCCCTTCTTTGATTATCCTTGCTTTTATACGGGCTTAGCAATTTTTGCACAACCAAACAGAATTCTGTGGGAAATAAACAGCCTCTTCTACCCTGTCATTCTTTCTGATTAGAAAAAGTTTAAATTTGTAACCAAAAATGAAGACTACAGAGAGAATTGTTTAAAAACATTTCAGGAGGTATCTTCTAGAAAAGTGTAGTGACAAACTTTGAGATTCTAAGTGGCATCTGACCGTGGAGTTTATGGACATCTTACTTTGTGGCATAGTGCTTGCTACTCTCAGTACGCTCACTGACTTCAGTGAGACTACTCATGGTAGTAAGCGTGCCAAATAGTGAGGTGTTAACAGGATCATACCCATGCTTTGCAGGAAAGGGAGCGATGCACTTAAAATTTGATCTTTTCATGGCCCTGAGTATTCCATTCAAACTGCTTTCTGTATAAGAAGATAAAATCAAGTCAGTTTTTATAACTTGTTCAGGTTGTATTCAGAACTATATATAATCTTGTTGCACACCCACTGCAAGACCAGAATATATATATTTTTTCAATTAATGTTTAATCTAATGTTCCTTTTCTTACTAAAAAGGAGGTAATCTGATAGAAGTGACTTCCTCCTTCTCCTCAAGTGTAGAAGAGGCACTTTGGGGCGCTCTCCCCAACTGATACTGATAAAAACAGAGAAGACTATAAATAGTTTATAGCTGTGTATAGTGCAGTCATTGGTGGATGGTGTCAGCTTGAAAACTTTATTTTGAGAGAGAGTTCAGCTAGTTCTCTTCATGCACCTGAAGTTTTAAGGAATATATTTTACTTTGGTATTTCACATAAATATATAGAGTGACATTTACTATAGATTGTCATCAAAATGAAAGTTCTTAAATTAGTAGGTGACCATTAAAATTATTATTAAATTAAACATCTCAAGGCAACTGTTGTCCCAGTGAGATTTGCAGTGGTGCCAACTCCATTATGTGCTTTTGAAAATCCTTCCCTTGGTCTCTTTGTGTGAAGGAAATAAAGGAAAAAGTAAATACAATTCTGAGGTGGAAGTAGAATGTAATCTTTGCCTTTTTGTGAAATATAAATTTGTCCTTCAGCTAGAACAGTACTACTGAAATGGCTAATATTTCAATAGGCATGGAATCCTATATAGTTGCTTAATTTTAAAGTTACATTATTAGTACCTACTAGGTACTCTTTTCCTCAGTGCACCATTGGTATAGTATTTTTATACAGTAAACTAAGCTTAAATACCTGATTAAAATAGTGAACTCTCATTGGCAAATGAGTTTACAAAATTAGTAAAGTTATTGTACAACATTTTAATTGCATTTGGTTCTATGGCTATATAAATTATACGGAACAAGAATAGCAATGTTGACAATTATGTAAAATTGACAATCTGAATGCAGAATATATTATTGTAGAAATAAGCTAAATGTTGTTTCGCATGTAATGTTTTCACTAAAGAATGCAGCCCAGGCATCTTTGAGGAAGTACGGAGTTGGCACTTGTGGACCTAGAGGGTTTTACGGCACTTTTGGTAAGTATAACTTTACTGTTACTAACATACTTTTGGTTCATCTTTAAAATAAGATTTTCATATTGAGGTAGTGGGTATTTCCAAAATACTTGCTCTGTACACTGTCTCAATTTCTCAATGCAGGGAATGGCTGACACACAACAGACTTTTTGGTGTGGTGCTTATCATTGCTAAAATTAAATTTAAACAAGTGTTTAAACAAAAGGCGCTTCTCGCGTAATCCGGCTAACATAGATGCTTTAGCCAAGTCATAATGCTGAATTTGACCTATTGCGTTTAGGGCACCATAGAGAGAATGTGGATAAACTAGAGTCCAAATAAGTACAATTAAATAATAATGGGTTTGAATCTAAAAGAGGGAATATGCACAATCCAGTCAAGACTGCGACATATTTAAGTGTTTTAGAAGGTGTAATAAAGTAGCTATTTTCATTACTACTAGTTACCCTGTTTTGTTTAATCAGCATAAATTAAATGATAAAAAACTTAATTGAGATTGATTAAACAATAGCAAAGGCTATCAATTCAAGTATGGTAGCTTGATAAAAATGCATATATTTACTTTAAGTCATAGGTATAGTGTTTAACTTGACTTGTCCTAGATCAGTCAGTGATAATCTAGGACCCACAATTTAGACTTAGTCCCTGCTCTATCCACTAGGTAAAACTGCCTTCTAATACATACCGTCAGTAATGGCAAGTAATTTCTATATGCCCTTGCTAAGTAAATTGTTTAATATACTTTTCTTTTTAGAAGCTTCCTTATGTTTCAAAATTTCACTTGTTTACAATGCCGTGGAATTTGCCATACTGGGAAGTGTGTTTAAAATGGTTGAAGTAGAAATGCTCTTAAAATTCCTTCATTAAATGCTAAATAGACCACAAGAGGGCAGTCTGGCTTCTGTATATTGTAAAATTCTAATGAGGAAACTTGTTGTCTTATTTGTATAATACTGTATTCAGAATTAAATATCGTCTACAAGAAACATTAAGACTTTTGTGGTGGGAAGAGTTCTAGTTGTGACAAACTCAATTTGTAAGGTTTTTTTTTTTGTTAATCAGCTTAGTTGTGAAACTAGCCTCTCTAATATTTCATTACAGAATTATGGCATTTATTATTCCTTTGCTGTCTCCACTCAGGAGACGTAAAGGGCAGGATAGTTGCAGGCTTAAAATTTTGTCTTCTCCTTGTGAGCTTTCATGTCACTCCCTGGGAGTCATGGATTCTTTTGTTAACCCAGATGGTTGTAGAGATCTCCCTTGGCGTCAACCATATGTTTGATTTCTCCAGAAGGCCGGCTTAGGTAGCCCTATTGAGTGATCAGGCAATCACCTTACATGTTTAAATTTGATAAATATTTCATATCTGCCAGAGCAAGATTGTTTTATTGCAGCCTTTTAGACTTAATCCTGCAGACTTTGTTCATTGATGTCACGACATACCTGGTCTTCCTCTCCATCCAAGGTGATAGCCAGCTAATAATAGCTATTAGTGAGCAGACCTGAGTGTTCGGACTCTTACGTGTTGGCAACACTTTTGTAACTTATCATGGTTGTCAAGTATTAAGTTTTTGTACACACCCCAGTCCTCTGCCCTGCACCTCCACAGACACCCCAGCCCTCTGCCCTGACCTCGAGTTGCCCCCAACACCCAGCCCTCTGCCCTGACCTCTAGTCGCCCCGCTCAGCCTGCTGCAGGCCTAGGTGAACAGAACCCCAGGCTGGAAGCGGGCTGAGCAGGCTGGCGGCATAAGATCAGCATTTTAATTTAATTTTAAAGGACGCTTCTTAAACATTTTGAAAACCTTGTTTACTTTACATACAACAATAGTTTAGTTATATAATATAGACTTATAGAGAGAGACCTTCTAAAAAACGTTAACATGTATTACTGGCACGCGAAACCTTAAATTAAAGTGAATAAATGAAGACTTGGCTCACCACTTCTGAAAGGTTGCCTACCCCTGCACTAGGCGCTGTACAAACAGAACAAAAAGACAGTCCCTGCCCTAAGGCACTTGTCTAAATGTAAGGAAATTCTCACTGCTGTTCTGAGTACACAAGCATATTAGTTTTACAAATATGCATATGGTTTGGCAACTATTAGAACTTCTGATGCTTGGATTTGACAAACACCACTCAGTGCCCATCAAGGATGGATGCATCAGCTTTGGTGTTTAGTGATTCATTTTCTGTGACACTGTTACCACAGGTAACAGCTGATGAGGCCCCACTCTTCCTTAGCAAATTCCTGTTTCCGTACATGGCTGTGTTAATTTCTGAGTACAAACTGTTAAGCCATTCTGCAATAAAAGCAGAACAATTAAACTTGACTAAGAATTTTTAATTTTTTTTCCTCAGATGTACACTTGGAATTGGAAGATCGACTAGCAAAATTTATGAGGACAGAGGAATCTATTATATACTCATATGGATTTGCCACAATTGCCAGTGCTATTCCAGCATATTCAAAGCGAGGGGACATAGTGTTTGTGTAAGTAACACTTACCTTTCAGAGATCCCAGAATAAAATTTCGGGGTAGGGGTTAGAATATTACTCAGATCCTGAAGAACTCCTTGATTGTGTGTGTTCAAAAGTCTGATATTCTCTAGCCAGATAACTGCATCTCCACATAGATTTGTACATTTAATGTTCAGTTGTGCCTGAAGAGCATACAGTGCAGTTTAGGAGGAGGGGTGCAAAGATGGCTATTTGTGTTGGCTGTGTATTAGATAACTCCTGTGGCTTAAATTAGAATATTTTGAAACTCACTTTAACTTGCATCACCTACTGGTGAACTCAATGGGTTGTGGTGGGGAAGCCGTAAACCAACTCTGTGCCATTAGACTCGGTCTTGTGCCCCACTGAGATGATCCTAAATATGGCATAGCCAACTACAGGAGAGCCACTTCTTGTCAGCTGCACACTGCAAAGCAGCCTGAACGGAGAGGAGAATCTGGGGCATATTTTCTAAAGTTGAATGTCTACAATGAATAGAAATTGTCATGAAATGGCTTAAGCTTGATCAGTAGGTTGAAAGTCAGATTGGATTAAAATGAAAAAGTTTAATGTCATAAGAATAAAAGGAAAACTTTAATAAAACCATTTTTAGAGCATTTTAACCTTGTTCGTATAATTATATTTAACATGTAAGCTGATCAATGGGCCTAAAACTCCTATCTCTTCTGATTTGTTCTTCAGACCAAATGTGCTAACTTTCAGTTGTTGCTGTTACCAAGAAAATCAGACGTTGGCAGTAATTGCCACCTAAGGAGGGAAAAACAAGTCCCCTTGTACGCAAGGAATAGCGAGGGTACAGTGGTTAATTTTCCTGTATCAGCCATTGTGCAGTGTTGTTGGCAGCTAATTTGAGATGGGCAGGCTTTTCTGTCTTGCCTGCAGGGCACTGATGCCTTCGTAACTGTTAGAAGGGTCAAGGGAGAGAGGCCAGCCCAGATTGACAATTTAAATCTAACAGCACTCCTGCCAGTCTAAATCCTGAATTGTCTATGGAAGGTGAGAACTCCGAGGTACTTGCTAGTGGGGCTATAGGTAACTTTATACTTAGATATGCTCTGTCATGCCAAAAATATCATAAGACTAATATTATCTTTGAAAGAACTAACACTGTGACATAGTAAGAATTTTAATCATAAGCAAGATTGAATGGAGCAGCTAAAGCTTGAAGTCCAGCTTCTGTGAGGTACTGAACTCATTCTGAAGAGACTTGAATATTAAATAAAAATAAAATAAAATCATTTTCAGAAATATTTCTACTGCCTTCTGGTTACCCTGTGACATTTCGAGCTACACTTACCTATATGACAATCACCTTTTTACCCCCCCCCCCCAAAAAAAACGAGGAAAGTAAGAGGGTTGTACCACACGAAAACTGGACACTTGGCAACCCTGTTTTAAGTGCCAGCCCTGCAAAGTCAGCCTAGGATCTGCAAGTCAAGTTGGGTTTTTTCTTTCTTGCACAAGATCAAAAGTTTCTGCAGGACAAATTGTGCCCTCAGTTATACACATATAACCTATATGTGTATAATCATTTGATTATGCCTTTTGATATCAGTAAATTATTACTTAATGAACAGTTGTATCAATGTGAAAGGGAAAAGAATACTCTCACTCCCTTCTAGTTGTATTAGCTCCACCAGGCGTACAGGAATAAACTGTTAATGTTAACCAACAATTTTATACTCACAAGGAATGGGTATAATAATTAAGGTGCCATTTTTACACACCTATTTTGAAGACTAGCACTGGGCACTATAACCTATTTTGTGCTAAAATATAAAAATACCTGTAAATAGTATTTGTACCATTTTTAAAGTGCTGTAAGAATATTAAGATTGGGCCAGGACATGTTACATACCATGAGGTATGATAACTATTCCCTTTATTGTTAATGGGCGTTGCATATAAATTTATGCATGAAGGAAGACGTTATATTTGGGGTGACATGGAATCTTATTGGTTTGGGCCTGTGCTGAGTAAATGAATATTCTCTATGGTATCCAAATCTGGCCCCCTTTAAAATAGGGTAGCAGTCTTACTATTTTTCTCTAATACTGGCCCAGTCAACATTGGAATTACTATCTTAATAGAAAACGTTCAACTATTAACATAGTTTGCATAGTTATGTCTGGTCCCCATTTACTAGGTAAACTATTTTAAAACAGTGCTTTAGACTCCGGTATGCTTTTTAAACATTGCTTTGAAGCAGTGATGCCTGATACATAGTGGTTTGCACACAGTGCTTAAAGGAAGAAAAATATCTAGATGGTCTAGAAAACCTAAATCTTTAAACCTGGTATGTTGCAAAAAAAAAATTGAAACTTTAGTTATAGAGCTAACTGCATCTGATAAGAAATCGGGACCCAAACGTACTATATATGTGATTCTAGCATGCTTAAAAATGCATTAAGTTGATGTGTAGAGAGTCTAAGCTTGTAAGTGATAACATTTGTTCTTGTTACGGGCAAAAATAACTAGTTTATAGAAATCTTTGGAAGTTATTGTATTACGTACTGTTGGCAACTTATGGTTACTCTCAAATTACCTCACTCACACGTCAGTAAAAATGAGTTGATGACAATCTGACAAGCAATTATTGCAATAGTATGGAGAGCAGTTGACAAAATTGGTATCAAATGTCTCTAAAATAATAAAACAAAACACTTCAAAGTTAATGAAGAAAGAGTGCTTATTAGCTGAATGCTTTCTTTGGGAGTTAGTAAATCTTGCCTCTCCTATCATGCAAAATGCTTCTGCAACCACAAAGCTACAATAGAAAGGTTCTGCTGGATAAACAGAAAAGCTTCAGACTTAACCTCTTTCCTCCAAAGAAATGTATCCCACTTTGTGATGAGAAAATAGGCTGTGTTTAAGTTAGATTATTTTCTGCGAGAACATATACCCATGCAATAAATAGCAGGTTAAGGCTGCATTCTCTAACCCGTTTCTCTTGACTTTTTAGTAAGAGCTGCAGTTTGTGTATTCACATTTTAAATTAAAGCAAATTAAAATGTACTGCATTGAGTGGCCAGAATATTTTAAGCTTGATATGCTGAATTCAGCATATTTATTACCTGTACACTTGTATTTTTAGTTTTTTGCAGTAAGACTATATCTACACTTACTGTGGTGTATAAAGTATAGGCACCATATGTGTAGCTACACGCTGCAGTGAGAGTCAGGCTGCATCCCTGTTTGTCACTGCAGCATGTAGCTACATGAGCTGCCAGAGCCTTTCACTGCAGCCAGGAAAGGCTCTGGCAAGGGAGAGGCACTGCTTGGGCATGTAGAGAGCCAATGTAGGACATATGGCCTAAGGCTTCAGGCATGTAGGGCACCCTACTTGCCTAAGCTGTCTCTCACCATCTACATTGCTGTTTATATTCATGCTACCTGGGCATGTAGTGTCTGTACCTTGCATGTTGCCTTAAGTGTAAATGTACCCTAAGAGTCTCTGCTTCAGTAGCACACCGTATTTATCACTGACAAAAAAGGTGCATCATGTTAGAGATTTGATGTTTGAAAATTAAATTACTGTTGTTCAGTATGTGCAGAAGGAGGGATTTGCAACTTCAAAAGGAATTCTGAGTATATCCAATTAAGAAATTACCAAAAAACGTAATTTAGTGTGTGGGGGGGGAATTACATATGCATCTTTAAGTCTGAGAAATGGCTTATCAGGCCTGGAAAACTGGGACAAATGCTCACCATGAAGTGGAATAAAAGAGGAAGAATGACTATGAGTACTCTTAAGACTGGTAAGAGAGGTCAAGCACATTCTCAGACTTGCCGTGCTTTAAAACTGAGGCAGGTAGAAAGAGAAGAACCAATGGGTAATTGTAGGAGTATAATACCCCTATTTATGGAATGTTGGTCTCGGCCCGGGAATTATGTCGGCCTTCACTGCCACAATGAAAAATAGGTAACCACAGAATAAGCCTGATAGTCATCCTAGATGCAAAGACAGTAAAATGGCTTCTCAATGAAAATAGTTAATTACATATATTTGTAGTGTTTCATATGAACAGTTCAGTGTAATCTGGAAACCAGAAAATATTTTAGTATCACTTCTGTGCACTGGTCCTTGCTTTAGAGAAAAACTCTAAATTGTACATTTCACGATTAAAGTGTAAAGATGTCTCCACATAGCCGCAGAGGGTAACAGGTGTTAGAAACCAATTTTAAATGATTTAAAATTGTGTGTAATAAAAGATAGATTTTATTTATACACATATAAGTATACAAGGCAGTTTAAAAGCAAAGCAGGCCTAAAAAGGTAATTGACCTACGCTGTTATTTAAAAGTGATTAACAAACCAAGCGCAAAATGAAAGAGTATTCTGTGTTTATAGAGATGAAGCTGCCTGCTTTGCTATTCAGAAAGGATTACAGGCATCGCGAAGTAACATTAAGTTATTTAAACATAATGATATGGCTGACCTTGAGCAACTTCTGAAAGAACAAGAGATTGAAGATCAAAAGGTAAAATTTCTTTGTAGTCTTTTGCCCTTCTTAAGTAGGTTGTATATTTGAATAGATCCAGCACTCGTAGTCTGTTGTTGTTTTATATAAATCACTGCTGAATGCTTAATTTTGCTTATATAGTTAAACTGGATTTGGCTGCTGTGTTCGCTTGCCATAATTGTATTGTCATTGTCAAGAGTAGGTGATGGAGGTGGTCACTAAGGGCTTGTGATTTAAACACAGTTTTTTGTACCTATACATTTATTTTGAAATCTGTGTAACTGCCCCCATCCTAGGGGTGACACTGATTAACTCAGTTTCTAAACCGCTATAAGTAAATCTGTACCAAAACTGTTAGAACAGCCCTATCTTTATAAATAAATTAAGTATAGACCAGAAAACTGTAGAAGAGGTGAGATGATTCTCCTCATGTACTCTTCACATATTCCCTCTTTATAAAAACTATCATTGGAGCCAAATATGATGATGAAATGCTTCCAGTCCAGCAGTAACTTGGGAGGATATTAAACAGCAACTGCTAAAGCTAGACCTCTTTAAATCAGCAGGTCCAGTTAACTTTCATCTGAGAGTTTTAAAAGAGCTGGCCAAAGAGCTCTTTAGACTGTTGATGTTGGGGTTGGTTTTTTTGTTTTGCTTAATAAGTCTTGGAATACTGATGAAATTCCAGAAGTCTGGAAGAAAGTTAATGTGCCAATATTAAAGGGTAAACAGGAAGACTTGGGTAATTATAGGCCAGTCCGTCTGTTTGATCCCGAAGAATTAAAGGAGAGTAATATACCGTATATACTCGTTCATAAGCTGAATGTTTTTAGTAAAAAAGGGAAGCACCAGAGAAGGGGGTCGGCTTATGAACAGGTATAGAGAGGGAGAGGTGGGACACAGCCCCTCCCCCCAGGCCAGCAGAGCCAGAAGGGAAGAGGCGGGGCCAGAGTCTCTCCGCTTCTGGCCACACTGCTCTCCCCCCAGCCTCCGAAACAGCTGCAGCTCCGGGGCTGGCAGGCTGCGGCCCCACCCCCCAGAGCAGGCTGTGACCATGCTGCCCAGCCTGCCGGAGCAGCTCCAGCCAGGCCAGAGACATCCTCCCCTGGCCCTCCCAAGATAAGGTGGGAAGGGATGGGATGGGGAGAATGTGGGGGTCCCAGGCTAAGGGTGGGGTCATGGGGGTGGTCACATGGGTTACCCCCTGGCCCCCAGTTTCTGGCTCCCCAAAAAACTTCTCCACCAGTTGCTGTCCCGGACCATCAGGATGAGCAGCTGGCACGCCGGGACACTTTGTTTACTTAAGTTTACCTCCATGCCTGCGGACGCTCGAGGTAAACAAACCATCTCAGCCCACCACCAGCTTATCCTGCTGGCCTGGGAGCCAAATTTTGCTGACCCCTGAATTATAGGGTCAGCTTATGAATGGGTCATAACAATTTTCCATTTTACTTATCCATTTTGGGGGATCGGTTGATAAATGACCAGCTTATGATCGAGTATATACGGCAATTAATTATCAATATGGGTTTATGGAAAAATCTTTTAACCTTTTTTGAAGTTACAAGTTTAGTTGATAGAGGAAATAGAGTTGATATAATAATCTAAAGCTTCTGTATTTGACTTGGGCTGCATGACATTTTGATTAAGAAACTAGAACAATGCAAAATTTACATGGCGCACACAAAATTGATTTAAAAATGGCTGATAGGTGTCAGCATGTAACTGTAAATGGGAAGTCATTGCGTAAGTATGTCAGGTCCCACAAGGATCAGTTCTTGGCCCTATGCTATGCAACGTTTTTATCAATAATCTGGAAGAAAATATAGCTTTGAGTGATAAAGTTTGCGGATGATCCCTAGATTGGGGGAGTAGTAAATAATGAAGAGGGCAGGTCATTGATACAGAGGCAACATAGATCACTTAGTAAGCTGGACCCAAGCAAACAGTGTGTTTCAATACAGCCAAATAGAACATCCTACATCTAGGAAAAAAGAATGCAGGCCATGCTTCTAGGATGAGTGACTCTATCCTGAGAAGCAGTGACACTGAAAAGACTTGAGGGTCCTTGTGGATAATCAGCTAAATGTTAGTTTCCAATGTGATGCTGTGGCCAAAAGGGCTAATGCAAACCTTAGATGTATAAACAGGGGAATCATGAGCAGGAGTAAAGAGGATATGTAGCCTCTGCTTTTGGCACTGGTGTGACCACTGCTGGAATACTGTCTGATTCTGATGTACACACTTCTAGAAGGATGTGGATAAATTGGAAAGGATTCAGAAAAGGGCCAGGAAAATGATTAAAGAATTGGAAAATGTGCCTTATAGGCAAGACTCAAAGAGCTTGATCTGTTTAGCTTATCAAAGAGAAATTTAAGGGGTAACTTGATCGGTCTATAAGTACAGTAAAAGCTTTTTTTATCTCGCATGTTGGGGAAATGGGGGGTCCTGGTAAGTGAAGAATGCCGGTTAACTAAGAGGGAGGGAGTTTGGATGCAAGGCACGGTCTCTGGGAGGGAGTTTGGGTGTGGGAGGGGGCTCTGGGCAGGGGGTTGGGGAGTGGGAGGGGATGTGAGGTGCCAGATCTAGGGGGTACTCACCTCATGCGGCTCCCGGCAAACAGCCACCTGTCCTTCTGTTCCTAGGCGGAGGCACGGCAGGCAACTCTGCGTGCTGCTGCGCCTCCACCTAGGAGCAGTTGGGACATGTCGCTGCTTGTGGGGAGCCGTCCAAGGTAAGTGCCCCCCAGATCTGACACCCTGAAACCCCTCTCGCGCCCCAACTCCCTGCCCTGAGCCCACGCCTCCCACCCCTTCCCGTGCCCCAACCTCCAGCCCCGCACTCCCTCCTGCACTCCAAACCCCTCGTGGCCATTCTTCTGCTTAAGAGCAGCAGGGACATGTCGCCTTCTGGGAGCCACATGAAGCCGGGGAGCCACACGGAGCCAGGTAGGGAGCCTGCTGGCTCCGCACCAACCGAACTATAAACCGGACTTTCTATGGAGATTAGAAATGCCAGTTTATAGAGCTTTCCACTTGGTACAGAGCCGGATAACACAGCTTTTACTGTACCTACATAAGGAACAGAATTTTGATAAGAGGGCTCTTCAATCTGGCAGGTAAAGGTATACAAATCCAGTCTTGACGTAAGGTGTATATTAATGACAGTGAGGATATACCTACCATTGGAGCAATTTACTGAGCATTGTGATGGATTCTTCCATCACTGGAAATTTGTAAATCAAGAACGGATGTCTTTCTAAAAGAGAGAGTTCAAACTCTAATTCAGGGAAGTCCTAGGGCCCTTGTTACTCAGGACATCAGACTAGATGATCACAGTGGTCCCTTCTGGCCTTATAATCTATAAGAATATATTTGAGGTATGTTATAAAAGACCCCTTGTAACAGGATTCTGTTAAGTTGAAACTGACTGTGGTAACCTTATGCTGAAAAGCCTTAAAGTCTTTAAATTACGCTGTTTCCACTTCTCTTTTCATGACAAAGAGGAAGTACACCCTGAACGCTTTTGACAGCTAAGGGAGCATTTCTACTCTCTGTGATAGAGACCTGGTCTCAAAATATACATTCCTGAATATTATTCCCTTAGTGTAAGTGTGCAGTTTAGCTGAATCGGTGGTATTCAGTCCCTGATTTGTTACACAATGGCACAGAATCTTAAATACAGCAACTTTAAAAATAATGAAGCCAAATAGTCAGCCAACTGTAAGACACTTAATATGGTTATAAGAGCAGAAATGCTAAGTTCCAACTAGGATATAAAAGTTTGTTTGTTTTTTTTCCCCCCCCAAAACAAATAGTTATCTTAATAGAAGTTTGTATTTTTTGTTGTTGAACACTTCATACATACTAAAACATACATTTTCTCTGAAGAATCCTCGTAAGGCCTGTGTAACTCGAAGGTTTATTCTGGTGGAAGGGCTATATATGAATACTGGAGATATTTGTCCTCTTCCAGATTTGGTAAGTGGTTTCAGTTTTGTTTGTTTAAGCTGTGTGTGTTATGTACACACATTACTAATAAAATATTAATATTGCATCTTTGAACCTTAAAAGTAAGGAAATGCCAAAGGCAGTGAATGCTTTGCATGAAACCTTATACCTTCCCTTCATTCATGATCACATTTCTAAAATATAATAGAATATTATATCCCCTTTTGTGTTAGCTACAAAGTGGATTGTTGGCATTGACATTTTTGAGGTATTCATAATCAGGTTCCGAATTTTGCAGTTCTGTAATATACATATCCTATCATGTAACAATGATCTGTTTTTACAGAGTATACCTGCTTAATAGGTTTAGACTAAAATCACTTTTTTGTTTTAGTTTAAAAATTGAGCTGGTCTCTTAAATAATGAAAACAGTACGCTTGACTCCAGGGAGTACAACCTTAATTATTAAACATAGATTTTGTGTACAACACTGTTCCTGATGATGATAGGTAGAATGCTGTGAATATCTTATGTAATATTTTAAAGTATTTTATAGCCTGTTTCTTAAAAAGAAAATCCAAGTTAGGTCTATAAATGACTATGGGCATTTTAGATTTCTTATACTTATTTTAAGCGTTAAACAGTGGCAATGGTGTTCAGGATTCTAAAACACACACAATGGCTGAGTATTATAGTGGGATTAACAGTCTTACATTATTCAGGATACTTTATAGGATCTTTCATGTGATTTTCAATCTTTTGTACATGTACCTTGTACTTATTTCTTTGCAAAAATGTCAATAATATTAGGCTGTCTTGTATCATTTGTACTATTAAATCTGCAGATAAAATTGAAATATAAATATAAAGTGAGGATTTTTTTGGAGGAAAGTCTTTCTTTTGGAGTCCTTGGAGAACATGGACGAGGTGTTACGGAACACTTTGGAATAAATGTAAGTGCTAGGCTTTTTTTTCTTTCATTGGGACTATTATGTGTTGGCAAGAGAGTTGTAGACTGGGACAAGTTCTGATACTGGTTTTCTTTTATATTTTTGGCAATAACAGTACTACAGATTTTAAGAGTATTCATCTGTGTATGGTAGGAATTTTAAGTCAATTTGGCTATCCAATTACTATACTGATCTTTTTGTTTAATAGAAAACACAACTACTTAATTTTTTAGTTTAAATAGCAACATTGGGGGTGGGTGGAGTTGGCACTGTTCCTCTTTACATGACCTCTTTTATCATCTGCCATTAACATTCACTTTGGATTTGAATTTTGCACAAAGAGTGAACGACTTTTAGGAAAAGTCTTAATAAAAACTGGTTTATTTATATCTCTTGTTAGAATGGAGGGGGAAATAGTGAATATGATATGCTATTTTTTTCCTATGAGGACATTGTACTTGGGGTTGGAGGTGGAATACATTTGGCACTGGGGAGTCTTTAGTCCAAGACTCTGCTCACACACATCTGGCAACAGACTCTTCAGTTTACATAGTAATGTGAGCCTGCATGTGTGATAGTAGAGATGTCTTAATTTTAAATGCAGTAGAATACTTTTGCTCTTAAACAAGATGTTAAGTGGGAAAGAAATGCTGTTTAAAACTAATCAATCCTGCTTACATGAAAGAATGTTTTTAAAGTGCATGAATATTAAATATCACCATGCTACAGATGAGGACAACTTATTGTAACTTCTCCAAAGACATTTGTATCATACTGTGTTTAGGTACCAATATCTCTGTTTTACCCTGTACTCAGGCATGGCACACTTCAGTACACCAAGACATGGACTTGAAAGAGGGTATCTTAAAGCTAAAGTGAAAAGTACTGTGGAGGTGTCTCCACAGTTAAGGTTGCATTTCAGTTTTCACTGAAAGCATAATTTACTTCTCTCTGACAGTTCACTGAATTTAGTCTCTAAAAATACTTTCCATTTTTTTCAAAATAAATTAAATTCATTTAGTTTATAAATTGGGCCCAGGCACTTTTTTGCTCCCAGTACCTACACCACCACAAACTCAAAATTTTACATTAACACAAAAATATTCTGGTGGGGAAGGTCACAAAAGTCCCTCTCCATGTGCTGTTCCCCCATTCCTCACTCTCCTTCGGTGGGGCACAGGGTGGTTGGCATATGGAGTCAGACTTTCTATAGATAGGTTTTAGCCATTGCCCTGCTTGTTGTGGTCGGACTTGCCGGTGCTCACAGATTCAGCAGGTTCCCTATGCTTAGGAACATTGGTTTGGCATGACCTGTACAGTGGTGCCACAAGGGGCCCTTTTCTTTATCTGCCATGGGCTGGGGAAGGAAGAAAAGTGCACATTGGAGGCAGTGGTTCCTCAGCAGAAGCGACTTTCACAACATCCTGAACATTGAAAATGTCAAATTCTGTCTCCTTCTATCTGACCTCTGGCATCCGTTTTTTTCCTCTGCTGATCTCTCCCTCCCCTACCAGCATTGCACTCTCTGACTTCTATGCTCCCATCTCTTCTCCACTTCTCCTGCCTTTTGTTTCCTGCTCATTTGCTCTAACTCCTCCAACCCACATAATATATTTGGAACAAAACAAAAAACCAATTTGAAGAAACAAAGTGCAAGTGAAACTACCATGATGTTTGCCAAGCATTATTTGATTGCTTGGCTTATTGTAAAATCCCTTTGTCCATCCCGGGTCTTTGTCTGTCTTGTCTATTTATAATTAAAGCTCTTTGTGGTAAAGACCATTTCTTTCTATGTGCTGCATTCCACACGTCACAAAAAGAGAACTTGTTTGCAACCAATGAGTTAATGGGACAATTAGGTATTTCTAGGATCCAAAGCCAACTCCAGTTAAGCATGTACTTAAATACTCCTGAGGGAATTATTTGCCAAAAAATAAAAAATTATGCACCCAATATTTTAAAATTCTGCAAATTTTATTTGTCAATAAATACATATGGCTCCAACATGGCAGTGGAGAGCACAGGCCACTGGCTGCACTGAGGTGGGAGATCACCCTGAACCCCCACCTCCCCCAGTACAGGGACTCGGCAGTGAGGCCGCATCTGACCCTGGCAGTGCAAGGGCTGGGCCTGCCCCAGAAACACCCCGGGGCCCTGCCCCTCTGGGCCAGGTGCACCAGGTGTGGGTAGGCAGGCTCAGCCAGCAGGATTCAAGTGTGGAGGGGCTTAGTGTGGGGGGATCCAGGTGTGGGGTGAGAGGTTTCAGTGTAGGGCAATCTGGATATGGGCATCTCAGTGGGAGATTTGGATGCACGGACTCGGGGTTCTGGTGCAAGTGCAATGGGACTCTGCAGGGGATTCAGGTGATAGTGGTTGGTCTCAGCAGGGAGTGAGGGTAAATAGGGCTTGGCGGAAGGGTCTGGATGTGGGGGGGTCTGGGTGCTGGGGGGCTTGTCAGAGGGATCCAGGTGTGTGGGGGGGGGTAGGGCTTGTGAGGGTTCGATGGGCCTGCTTAATGGGGGAGCCCCAGCTGCTGCTGTGGGGATGCCACCTGCTGGGATCCTGCTCCTGCCCTCCCCCCCAGTGATTCCCCTATCCCTTTTTCTTCTCCATCCCCCTCCCCTCACTCCCACATTCCCCTCCCCCTGCCCTATTCCACCCCCCTTCCTTCCCCACCATGGGAACTCACTGTTCCACAGAAAATAGGAAGGCTCCCAGAACACAGAAGGGAAGCACAACTGGCCCAGGACCCAGGAGGCTGTGTTCAGCTGCAGAGCCCGAGACCGCCTCCGAGGGGGGCAGTGGCACATAACCTTGTGTGCTCTCCCCCCAATGCCTCGCTTCTGTTTGGGGGACTATCTCTTTTCCTCTCCCCCCCCCCCCCAAAAAAAAAAGTGCACACATGGTCATGCACCCTGTGAGGCTTTCTTGCCATTTTCTGCAGGGAAAAGCAGGAAGTGTGTGTGTGTCAGGGTGTTTTCTGGTGCAGGCACGCAGTCCTGCAGAATCCCCCCAGGAGTACAGTCACTAGCACACACGTGCACTCAGGCCCCTCCCCACCCCCCTCTTCCCCCCCACGATGTTCACGCAGGCACGCATGCACATACACCAAGCCCCCATCTCTGAGCCTGCTCCAGGCATGCTGTAACAAACTTGCTGCTGGGGAAGAGGCACGTGTCCCCTGGCAGATTTTTTTTTTTTGCGTTTTTCTGCACAAGGGGCACAGAAAAATGCAGGCCATATGAACTTCCCCCCCCCCCCCCATCGGCATAGAATCCCCCCAGGAGTAACTTAAATCACATTCAGTCCCATTGACTTAATTGGGACAACTCACATGCTTAAAATAGATCAGGTACCAAAGTACTTTGCTAGATTGGGGCCTACAAATGCATAATTTTATTTTTACATGCTGCATATGTTGCAATACCTGAAAACATTTACGTTAAATATATTTGGATCCCTATAAACATAGTTTAAAATTAAAATGGAGGCAGTTCAGCCATAACTGTGTTAAAGTGATACAAACAAGGAGCTTTAAAACTATGGGTGGGGGTGGGGTAATCTGGTGTATTTTGCCCTAGCACACGTTAATTTGAAGCGTAGTTTATATATTGTAAATGATCTTGATTTAATTAAGCTTCACTTCACTTCCATCCACCTCGTTCCTCTCTCATAATATATTCTGTTAATTGAATGACAGGTTGACGATATAGATCTGATTAGTGCAAACATGGAGAATTCCTTGGCTTCTATTGGAGGATTTTGCTGTGGAAGATCTTTTGTTATTGACCATCAGGTATGCCACCTCTTATTTTTAAATGGAATAGCAGACTGAATTACTAAGAAATGACAGTGACTTGACTTCTGTTTACAAGCTTCATCTTGATATAAATGATTTACATAGGAATTTATTCCATTTAGAAGACCACTTCAAAAAGATTATGTGGATGAGTTAGAGACTGTTGTTCAGTTATGATTTTTGCTTAATTTAAACCAAATGACTTTAAAGATTTTTTTTTCTGTACTATCGTGAACAAGCAAAACTGATATAAGAACTTTTCAGCTTTGTTTATGACTTTTCATTTTCTTTCTCAGAGATTGTCAGGTCAGGGTTACTGCTTTTCAGCCTCTCTGCCTCCCCTACTAGCTGCTGCTGCTATTGAGTCCCTCAATATCATGGAAGAGAATCCAGGTATTTCGTTCTGAAAAATCAAATACTTTGTAATGTGACAAGTTATTCTGTTCAGAGGGAACACTAACTGTTTGAGCTCAAGATTAAAGCCTGTGGGCATAATTTCCCCCACTTCCATCCCTCACCCTCTTAGTCTAGCGCTTCCTCATTTACTTTTTCCTTTCATTCGTTCATTCTCTCTGCTCCCTTTCCACTGACTCTTTCCACTTCTTACATTCATTATCTCCTTTTCACTCATTCTCCCTTTAACTTTCCCTGCCACTGTCTCTTCCCACCATATATCTCTTGTCCCCCACCCCTTCCTTTTTCACACACAGTGAAAAAGAGAAGTGGAAATGGAAAGAGCCAGAGAAGGGAGACACTGAACACTTCATTAAAAACTGTTGTTGTTCACTACAAACGTCCTACTGATTTTCCTTCCTCCCATTTGACCAGAACATATTTGGTAATTTTCAAGGTAAAGTAAGGAAAAAAGGGGGACATAGTTATCAAAGGTTGAAGCCCCTTCTTACTTTCCAATTATATTCCTTCAGCCTGTAGTTTCTTGATTCTCCATGTGTTGTCCTTTAATTGGGTCTCACAAAAAAGAGTTCTAAACAGAAATGACTCCACTGGAATAGCATTGGTCACTTCATGATGGAAATGGTATTCTCTTAGGAATGAGGATCATTGTAAGAAGAGGTAGAGAGGCTCAAAGTTTATTTGGGATTTATAGAAATATGCAGCAAGAGACTGAGACTCTTTTTTCTTTTGTCTAGACATTTTTCAGATTTTACGAGAGAAATGCAAACGGATTCACAAAGCTTTACAAAGGTAAACTATTTGATCTTGACTACTGTCAACTGGCTCAGCTTTTTATAGATCAATATCACAAAGTATCATGAATATAATATCCTCTATAGTTACAGACGCCCTGTTTAGTTCCGGAAAACTTTGCATAACTCCAATTTTGCGTACGTCGGAAACTTATACCCGTACGTTACGCAAACATTTCCGCAACTCGAGAATCCTATTTCTGGCTTATGAACTTTTTCTGTACGTGCGAATTTCCATAAGTGTGAATTTGCGTAAGTCAGGTCTTCGTAACTCGAGGAGCGTCTGTACATTGAGTTTTTAATATAATTTTTCTGGCAACAGCTTTTTGATAATACAGTAAGTGTTTTAGATTCAATACTTTGTGTTTATAGTCAATTGACTAATTTTCAGAATAAATACGTACCTGCTCCTATAGTTCCAATTCAGTTTCTATTTCAGATTAAAGTTTCTTAAAATTGTCAGTTAATGCAGTAATCTATAAGCCAGTTTTAATGACAACTAATTTTTAGCAGTGGTCAAGCAAATTACAATCGTCTTTTTATTTCACAAGAGTATTTGCTTTATCTGTATTCTTTCTGATAGCCTTTTAGTGGTTAGTTTTGTAATCTAGAAAGTTTTTTTTTTTCCTAATGGTTCTGATAAAGAAATGAAGTCAGTTGTTGCTTAAGACTTTCATTGTAAGGTGATGTAAGTAGTCCAGAACAGTCTGGTCTTCTTGAATTGTGCATTCTGTGCCAATAACAGTGTTTGTTTGATCTCAGTGTCTAGTTGCTTGATACAATTAGTTGTAAGAGTATTTAAGTTTAAGGGAGAGGCACTAAATAATTGATGATTGAAACTTGTAACTGAGGTTAAAATGGTCGTAGCAGATATGTAACTGTGATATTCTTCTGTAGTATATTTTTAGGTATTACTATAGGGTCCATATAAACTTTTTCTTTAAGAAATTGAGTGTAGGTTGAGGAACAATAGCAGACTCAAACAAATTCACTCTGAACATACTAGAAGTTTGAATGTCACATAGATAAACTGTTAGTAACAAAATCTCATTAAAATCAGCTACTATACTGGAAACTTTGAATTTACATTTTAAAAAGCTGTTAGTAATAATCTTGAGAAATACAGACAAACGCCTTACTTCAGTATTGAGGAAAATTGGTTACAAAGATATTTACAAACGTAGATGAAAGTGATAGGGACAAACCATGTGTAAGGAGAAAATGTGCACCTCTAATTTATTAGAACTCTTGGTGTCTACAACAAGTGTCTAAGAGCTGGATATCAATTTATTTTAACTATCAAAATGCCTTGGACAGAATCGTCAAAAGAGGACGTTATGGAAAATTAAACACAGGGTGAGACAAGTACTGTCATGGTTTAGAAACTGGGCAAAATTGAAAATGAGTAGGATTAACAAATGGTCAAGTTTCAATCTGAAAAATGGATAACAGTGGGGTGCCTCAAGATTCTGTGCTAGGACTGGTATTTAATGTCACTGTCAAAAAAGCTAACAATGTTTGGAATCTTGTGTGTGTGTATATATGTATAGAGAGAGAAAGAGCATGCCAGCAGTATTCAAAATGTGTGTGTGTGTGTGGCACTATATTAATCCATGGTACACCCACACCTTGAATACTGCATGGAATTCTGGTCACCCAATCTCAAAAAAATATAATAGAATTGGAAAAAGTACAGAGAAGGTCAACAAAAATTATTAGCGGAATGGAACCGCCTCGGTATGAAAAAGTTTTTAAAAGACCGGGTCTGTTCAGCTTAGAAAAGAGAGACGATGGGTGTGTGTGTGTGTGTGTGTGTGTGTGGAGGAGGAGACAGTATATGATAGTCTATAAAAACATGAATGGTGC